GGCATGTTTGGAGGCTGTCACAGATTAGGGCAATATCGTCCGCATCCTCCAAGTCAAGAAGTCGCTCACCAGGAAGTAGCTCCACACCATCTAGGTCGTGTCCAGCGAACGCTGTTTCTATGACTTCATCAATAGCGAAGTTGAAGAGGAAAGGTGACAGCGGGCATCCTTGTCTCACGCCGCTGGTGATACTGAAGGGTGGCGAGAGTTTGCCATAAACCCTCACCCTGCCCGAACTATGCGCGTACAGCGCTTTGATAATGTTTACATATTTATCAGGCACACCTTTCCTCAGCAGACAGTCCCAAAGGGCACATCGATCGACCGAATCGAAGGCACCTTTTATGTCAAGAAACACGACGACGGTGGGTCGCCAATAAACATGGCGGTGCTCCAACACTTGACGCAGTGTGAAGATGTGGTCGATGCAGCCCCGACCTCGACGAAATCCGGCTTGCTCTTCACGAATCTGGCTTTCACGAGTGCCAGTCAATCTGTGGAGAATGACAGAGGCAAGCAATTTGGAGGCAATCGAAATCATACTGATCCCTCTATGATTGCCACATTCCAAACGAGAGCCTCCCTTGAAAATTGGGACAATGACGGAGCGGTTCCAGTCTGTCGGGACTGTCTCCTGCTCCCAAAGTCTTACTAGCAACTCGTGCAGATCATCTACTAGAGCAGGTCCCCCGAATTTGAAGAGGGCTGGGGGAATTCTATCTGCTCCTGAGGACTTATGCAGTTTCAACAGCCGGATCTCACGTTCGACATCTGCGCGTGAGGGCGGATCCGAGGAGACGGCCCAAGGAGAAGGGCGCTCAATGCCCGAAGAAGAAAGCGATAACGCAGGTTTGTTAAATTGCCTTGCAAAGTGTTCGGCCCAACGCTCCAAGCGTTTTGACAAGCCGTGGATCGGCTGCCCACTCTCGTCGCGTATGGTCTCGCTAACACCAGGTCTCCTGCTGCCTGTTTCCCGTATCAGACGGAATAACTTACGATGATTACCAACGGCAGCGGCTGTTTCCATCTCAGAGGCACGATGAGACCACCAGGTTTCGCGGTCCTTCTTCAGGCTAGCCCGTAGTCTTGCCCTGAGATTTTTGCGAGCCTCATTGTATTCGCTTCCAGCCGGAATACGTCGGCGAGTATCCATAAGTTCCATAGACTGTGTAGAGACCCAGTGTCCGGTTTGGCAATTTGCTTTACCACATGAAGACACGCCTGCGGACAGTAACGTTTGACGAATATGCAACCAGTGATCTTCAACGGTGTTTAGTGGGCGCTTACCCAGCCCGGATGTCAGCGCACTATGGTATACATTCAGAACATCTGGCTTCGCCAACTGGCTGGTGTCAATCCGTTCACCTCGACGTTGCGGACGTCCACCGAAACGCACCCGGAGGTCGGCACAGACAAGTGCGTGGTCAGAGTCCACGCTCGTGCTCCAAATTGAGCGACAATTCTGGACACAGCCCCTCCAGCGGTAACTGATCGCGATGTGATCGATTTGTGTCCATGGTTGGCCCGAGGCAGATGGCCGCCAAGTCACGGTTCTGCGGGTGCTGTGTCGGAAGTTAGTACTCTCGAGAAAGAGGCGAGCATCTTCACACAGATGTAGCAATCGTTCACCATTATCATTACGCGATCCTACACCATGTTGGCCGCCCAGATGAAGCTCATCAGAGGACAATTGTCCGACTTGGGCGTTTAGATCACCAGCCAACACCACAGTATCCGTGCTTCTTCTGTAACGAAGGAGCTCGTGCAGTTGCTGATAGAAATCATCTTTTACAGAATCAGTGCTACAGTTTGTAGGGGCGTAAGCCGCAATGACAAACAGGCACCGTTTGTCCCCGCGCGACTTCGTAGCACGGAAGGAACCAGCTAATCTAACGGCGTCATTGAGGTCAGACTGGCCATCATAGTTGGTTACGAGGTGCGATTCTCTGGTATGCTCTCCACGATACTCTGCGTAGCACATGTAGTGAAATGCTAACTTCGCACGATCACTGTGGACCATTAGAGCAAACGTTGTTCAACTTTATAGAAACTAGGTCCAAGATGGTCCGTTTATTTCCTGTCCGGAAACGCGTTGGAGTGGTGGCATGGCTGTACAATGGTGAACCAGTGAGTAGCTATTTTAATTCCGCCTTGAATTGCTTAACGAGATTGGCCGGGGTCTCTAGAGCATGCAGATTGAAGTCCCCTGGCAGGAAAACGTGGCTGTAAGATCGCACCAGTAGATTATTCATAGCGGAAGCTATGGCCTGATCCATTTCTAAAGTGGACATTGTTGGGCGGCATGTAACGACCACTGAGCATATATCCCCCTGGTTTATGTGTAAGCAGCGCCATAAGGTTTCTACAGTTTAAATCCCAGGCTCGTTTAGGAGGTCGATTAACAGGTCGGAACAGTAGTATAGAATTAAACCGCCTCCCTTTGTGGGTCGGTCGTTGCACAAGTGACATACCAGGTATTGCGGCCTCGGCGTTGGTAGTTAACTCCTTCCGCCACGTCTCGGTTAACATGATGAGGTCCCAACATATTGTGGTTTGACATGAGCAAAGCTTGGTCAATTTACTGAGAAGGCCTTGCGGGTTTATGTACAAAAAACTGAGAGTAACGCATGCCAGAAGCTTATATGAACCCACAACTGTTTCCCGCGAATTTATGCGGAACTTTGTAAGGGTGGCCAACAATCGTTTTTTGGATGTATTTCTGACATACTCCCGTAGTCATTTCGGTCTGTTGCACGGAGCACTACCTAAGCCTTTAGCGATGAATTGCGGCTGATTGGTTGTGTCTTTCTCTTCGGATAGTTCGGAATTTGCATTGCGCTCGGGTTCGGAAATGCAAACAGCGGGGCTAGAGTCAACTTCTCGCTGGTTTTGTTTTCCGTCGGCCAATAAGGACTCGGCTTCAACCGCCTTTAAAGGGCTGTTTGGTGTGTAACTTGTGCCAACTTTCGATCACTCTTTTAGCCATTGGTTTGGAGTAGAGCTGGACTTTCAGCACTCTTGAACCACTTTCTTAATAGATGAATGATATGGGCATACTTGATGTTGATTTGACCGTCAGGTCGTAGGGAGAAACAGCTTCGCGGATGTAGCGCCACTCATCCAAGTCATGAGCTTGGGCCTGGGAATCCTCGGTAGACTGGAGTTCGGGGACACTATGGACAAAGATCGATCCTTCCTCGGTTTGTCTGCGGTATTCTCTTGGATTTTGCCTCTTCTGCCGACCTTCACTACAAAGAATGTCCAGCAATATAGGAACATTACATGAGGAATAACGAAGACGTTTAGTTGACAACAGGGCGGTCTCCGCTTTGTGGCCCGACTTGAATTTCACATAAAATAGCTTTAGTTTGCCATAGTGACCTGGTTTTGAGTGGCAGAGTATGAAAAACAAGCTTTGCTATTTCGCCTGGATTCCCATTGCTTATCAAATGGATTCCCAGTCTTTCAGATCGTTCAGTATTTCCTATTTGATAAAGTTTTACCTTCGACTCAGCACGTTGGAGCATATTACTTTCATGGAGTTCTGCGTCTTCCTAGTGTTCCTAATCTTGGATAAGATAGTGCCTTCCTTTACTGGCGACGTGGTGAGCGTTTTCTCCAAGGTGCATTGGTATTCGTGTGATTTTTAACACCCTTTGGATTAGTTGCACACATACCCGCTAACTTTGCCTTGGGTCTACATGCAGCGAAGACGGATGTGTATGCTGTTAGAATTTTGATAATGTTAACTAAATCCGAATTCAACAGTGTGTCATGTGACATGGCCACACCACTCCCAAGTAGACCAATCAGTACAAAATGGGAGTCGTCGGGGTTAGCAGACCTTGCTTGCCCGTCTGTTTGATAGTTCTCGTGTTTTGGGTTGCCAACTCTACGCTGTTAAATATACCCTCGTTTGGCCATTCTGTTCCTAGTTTGGGGCTCATTCGAACAGCAAGCAAAAAGCAACCAGAGAAGCAAGGCCGTTTTAGGCACTTTATCTTATCACCTAGAGTTAAGTACGATGGAAAATGAGGCAAAGCTGGGGTGCGCTAAAAAGTCAAATCTTGGTCCTCCAGAACACACTAGTTATGGGGAAACCGGCCTACGAAAAGTGAATAGCTTGCGTTCGCAGACTGATAGGGATATCGCAACGTAATGTAGCTTAGAGCTTATCAGGAAGGGATTTCACTTAGTGCTACCTGGAGCCTGGGTGTGCACCACTGCCATTTGCTCTGCAACGGTGGAAAAACTGCAGGCGTTTTAGTTAACTTCACAATGTGCCTGTAAAAGGGCTGACATATGTTGCGTCAAAGCCATCTTCATCCAGTGTAGAAGTCTGTATGCCAGTAACCATACCGCAATGCTTAGACATCTCCTAGGTATTGATACTGATCTGCTAAAACACATAGGATACATGCAGATTATCAAATCATCCTGTGTTCCTCTTCAAGAAATGTCGTTGACCTGTATGTCGATTGGTCGCATATTTCTGGGCTAACCAGTTTTGACTGTGCGGTACTAGCACAATAGGATGGATGACTCGCCAGCAGGTTTCATGTAGTAAGCTCACCGAACCGAAGAATTTAAGCGGTCTGTCGATCAAGTTAGACAAGTACATCCCAACACGGAAACTGTGCGAGTGTTCAGGAGTCAGAATCGAATAAGATGTAACCACAAATTACTCCCGTAGGAAACCAATGAGACAATTGTTAGCTCCGTTTACAGTCAGTACCACTATAATTTTCTGGATGTGTGGTGGCTGTCTGGCGACATCCAGCAGCGACGAAGGCTTTCAAAAAATGCAATCAATCCCATTGTACTCACCAATAACAATTAGGCCACTTCCTTAGTGACACACTACTTGTTTAAAACTTTTAACGAATGACGACTATTTGCTCCGGATATAGAACACTGGATTGCTGTTTCCAGGCCTGTTATTTGATTGCTGGTAAATTCTCGATATCTACTGTTTCTTAATTCTACCATGCTTCATACAGGAATCGTTCAGAGTGCACATCACACAAGAGTTCCGAAACGACATTAAGCAACTGGGCGAATACCTATCTAACATTAGACGTTGGACCACCGTGTTGAGACGCCAACTGCTCGAGGAAAAGGAGCGAAATAAGAATATAAACGATCAAGTGAGTCAAAAGAAAGATCCATACTCTAAATTTATCTCATCTATTGATACTGATGAAAGCTGTGGAGATATTCTTTTGCCCTAATGAAGACAAACGAACTACGGTACTTCTCAGATATCCATTTGTCTGCTCGCAGTCAGCTGACTTGACACCACACCAGATTAATTGATAATCAGCATCCATTTACCAATCCCAGTATACCTTATATGTCTGATGTATTTGATATTACCTACTGGCGCTTATCTCACATGTAACTCAGGGATTTACAAAGACGCAACTGTTCATATTAAACGAACGCCGAAATTCAAATTATGCTTTGAGACCTATCACAAACTGAATAGACTGCCAACTTGGGTAACCAAACTATGAAGTAGGTGCGGTCGTGCCCATTGGCAAGTAGAGTTGAGTCCATCAAAAAACTGCTTGAAAAATGAATTGCGCGAACGATTCTTGTGCATTATTTCTCAGACTGCCAAACAAAAGCCGGAACAAAAGCGCCGAATGCCGAAAACTTCTACTTTTCTTCCTGAAATATTTGAGCTCGCCGATACTCCAGTCAAATGATATTATGCACAAATTATAACACCTACAGCGCCGGCAGATTTTCTTCAAAAAGGACTTCAGTGAGGCAGTTAGTTTATTAGTGTCTTGAGTTACTCTGTGTTATCCCCCAAGACGAAAGATGTGAAAATGGCTTTAGCAATTCTAACGATTAGATGCAGGGGTGAAAATGAGTATATTTCTTCTTTATCCGTGACTGCCTACTCAAGCAGGATGACAAATTTTATGAAGTCCCTCCGCAGAATGAGCCCACAGTTTGTAAAGCATATCCTTTTCTGTGTAATGAAAAAAAGCCATGCGAAACGAATGTATCAAGCGTTTTTCGATTATCGTGTGCCGCCTGACTCGCTGTTAGGTTTCCAAGAGCCAGTTATACCACTAACCAGGTTTATGCTGAAAAAACAACTCTTATTTTTCTGTAAATCGGAGCCGTTGCAGTAAAGCTCCTTTTAATCTTTGCTGGAGTATCCAAATGTAATTATTCACTATAAATCATTAGAAAATCCTTATAACTCATTGACGGCTTCGTTAGTCAGGCTAAATGCAATTCATAGTTGTCACAGATATGCATATCTGTTTGTACGAGGAATTCATTAATGAATCAAAATTGGTGGTATGTTGGACGAATATAGTTGGCAGAGAGCTTCGTCATTTTCAGTGAGTGGGATAGTGGATTCTGAAGTGGGGTTGCATTTCGGATGGAATGACAGAGGTCATTCAGCTTTCAGTTCAAGTTGGGAAGAATCTTTTGCCGAATGCCTTTCATTGAAGCATAGGCGTCGAAGTCAATGCACTCAAAATTTCATAGCGATAGCTTGTTTTAGTTCATTATTGATCAGTCCGCATAGTTGGACTGCATCTCGCATTGCCGAGGAATATACCATTTATTTATTTAGTTTATTTATTTCTCTATAAGCCTATTTTTAAAGCACCACATTTAATCCAAACGTACGAACTCGTCCATCTCAAGGGCTAAAGACAAATGGAAAGTGTAGCTTATTTTGTCCTGTACAAGTCACAACTTTGGGCGTTGATGCTAGCAGCAATACTTAGCATGTCGTTTGAGTATATGCTAGATGCTAATATATTTAACAAATCGTTCCATAAAACATTCTATTCAGCTGTCCACCTTGGTCAAGCCGAATGGAGCGTGGAAGTTCGGATTCAAGTTTAGCTCATGCAGCAATAGACCTTACTTCCCCTTCTATAAGCTAACCATAAGAAATATATTACTTACAATAGACGCAAACCAACCAGTTGTTGCAATTTGCGCTTCTTCTCCGCGCATGAAGGAGATTACTAAAGCTAGGAATGGCACGGAGTATTTGAGGATCACTGTTCATAAGGCAGTTATGCTTATTCCGCGTCTTTTAGCTCCCAGGCAATATGTGTAAATTTTTCGTACCTTCACAGAACAGCAGCGAGATTCAACTCCTCAAATCGGAAAATCTCAAACTTGCCGAACAGATGGCGAAATTACGAAGAGAGACACAGATACTACGAAGTAAGTCTTTTTTACCGGCTTTTCGAAACCGAGTACACATAAAATTTTATCATTTGAAAGATTAAGTGGTCAGTTGACATATTAACTCAGATATAAATGTTTTGTCTCCTTATCACAATGGCCGATACATATTGCACCTAATTTACCGGGAAACAACCAAGGTCATTCTACGATGGTTGCGTAAACGGCAGCAGCAGTCCATGTATGGTAACATGTCATTGAAATGCGTTTCTCCTATATATGCTGCGGGTGTTCGATTACGAAAAACAAGATAGAACGGGGGTACTTAAAAAGTTTTAAATGTACTAGTTTTCCTTACACTCAAAAGAATGCCCCATGATTTTACATCTTTTTTCATCTCTCTCCTAAAACTGACCGGTGTTGATTGCGCTTGAAAATGCTCTATCTTCCCTACTGGGAAACCCCCTTACTAGCTTTGTACCGTGGGGAACAGAACTGAATATTGTCTCCTTTGATTGTCCCCAATGGAAGCTACGGCATTCAGTGAAGGGAAAACGGCTTTTTCCATCTTTTATCGTGAGGTCATATAAATAAGTGAATGGTCAAACAAATGATGGTCAATCTGGGATAATGCATTGTCAAGCTCTGATTGTTCTTCAGTGTAATCTGCAAGACAAAGTGTCACCCATGAATGTGTTTTGCAAAAACCAATTATTTGAAAAAGCTTTTTCGATTAATACAACAAGCTCTGTTTTTCGGTTAGTTGGATTTCTAAATCCGCGTGCCCTTAAGGAGGATGATAGATTCTATTTCTTGATCAAATGAGCTGATTACTTCGGGACATACAAAGTAGTTTTGCAATTTTCGCTCATCTTGTTTGTTTATCTGCGCGTATTTGCGCGGCTACTGAAGTTCAACCACTAGTGCAGCTGGTAATCGTAGTCTCGTTATTCAATAATAGTTGTTTAATGTAATATTCTTTCTGTCCCACGCTACTTATTCAACCCTATAGAAGCGCAACGGAGTAATGGGGAAAGTACACGAGTGGAGATGGCCAAGGACACGGAACGAAGGTCCACAGTCCTTGAGACGAAACTGTCTGAAGCAACAGCCGAACTTGAGCAAGTGAGACGAAGTTACACGGCACTAAGGAATCTGGTCTCACAGTTTATTGGAACGGCAGTCCCTAATGTCACTGTGAGTGGTGCATTTTTTAAATACAACATTTGACTCTACTCTGAATGATCCAACTATGTTGGGAATACTTAAAGTACAGTTAGAACAAAACTCAATGCTCAGGAATGGCTTAACTCCTATAGCTATGCTAGTTAATATATCTCCAGCCCATCCATGGTCTGCTTTTCTAAGAAAGCCACAAGCAATTACTACTCGTTTGAATATATTGGTAAACACCCATCGTGCAATACAATGTTTGTCTCGCAGCCGATAGTCTGCTGTTATATTCTCACAATCAACCGACGACTGAGAAAAGTAAGAAGGCAAGTAAATGGGAGCGAGATATAAGAGTTTATTGCCGAAACCTGCAACCTCGCTAAGCTGGCAGACACCCAAGAATAGCTAGGTAGAAAGATAAAAAAGTATTTTCCAAAAACCTCGGGGGGAATGGATTGTACGATTGAGTCGGTTGGTCACTCGTGTATCTGGTCGCACGTTCCTTAACTTGGCTCCGTGACATAGCAAATCTCTACTCAGGTACGTACAGACTATTGTTCGCTTGGTAAAATAATCCGCCTCTCCGTTTCTCACGGGTACATGCTCTTTCGAAAGACTGAATTGGTCTTGTGCATTTGGAAACTTTTGGCGCCTGATTGGTCACCTGCACACTTGGTGGATGTTTTTATTTGATTGACTGTCCTCCTAGAGCTCGACGTGGGCGAGCCCAGACCGCTTGCTGCTCGGCTGCCCAATCCGCTTCTGATGACATGCTCAATTTCCTGCGGTTTATGTTACATCTGTTTGGTACTCCGCGAAATGACGCGGGGCGTTCGAATAGCCAATTGTACTTTGGTATCATAGCGTTTCCATGCACCATTGGTTTCAGCCACCATCACATATACGGCCACTAAGAATGTTTGGAGCGGGAACTTGAACTACGTGAAGTCTTTTTCGGTGAAACTGTTAGGTTTCACTAAAATGCAGGGTAACTTGGTCACACACACACACACACCCACGAGTACGTGGTCTGAAGAGAGTGACTCCAAATAAATTTGCAGTCCGTTATGCAGCCTGTCCAACTGCAACTGTTGGCAATATTCACAATATCAGTCCTTAACTGCTCAGGTAAATGGAATCACCATGTGGTGTGCTGTCGCCATGAACGGAAAAATGAAGTACTTGATAGACATAATCGGTGATCGGCACAGCGTTGTGGAAGGCGCTCTCCGTTATTCATCCTGCTCGAAGAATGGGCATAAAGATCATCGATAGATCGTGCCCATCAGATACAGTCAATTAACCTGTCCGTTCAAGTCTCTGGCTTGCGCCACGATATCCATGTGGCGCTTCTCACAGGGAAAGTCAGAGAATTGATGGAGAAATTCCTCGTTTGCTGGTTCTGGGCTCTAGTCAACGGCAGCTTGGGTCATTACGAAAAACAGGTAGTGTCCAGTAACCTTCTGGCCTAAGTACGGTGGTTTTTTGGAAGCCAAACAACTGGCGCTGCTTTTGCATTTACTTAACGAAACTTCCGAACCAGCCTGGCCGGCAACTTCAGAACTTGCGTCTTTGGATAAGCGGCAACGTAAATGTACTGCAAAACACGCAGATGGCCATGTTAGCCTTGAGTTGCGCTGAGGTCCTGTAAGCTGGTTTCAGTGATGCAACAGATATCGATAGTGATGGTTCGAGGGTGCAAGGAAGATCTACTTTCGATCCTGTCATAATATGCCTTCGAACATAAAGAGTGGCCAACTCCAATTGAGTACGAGGGACCTAAACATTCTGAGTGCACATCTGGGTGGCACACGGTCGATCTTGAACCAGGCATATGCGCAGATAGAACCGTTACTCAAGGCGGTGCTTGGGCTGAAGGTCGGATGGGTGTCACGAAAAGTGGACTAGTTCAGTAAACGTGGAACAGAACATGTGTAAACGGTGCGGCAGAGCGTACTTTAGTGAAGTCGGCAGACAGCATCTCGGCTATAGGAAAGGAAGTCAGAGAGAGGAGACGGTCAGTATTATTTTGTAGGTTTCTTTGTCGGTATACTCGGTGTGGGCATACGACTTTCCTGCTGTCCAGGCTTAGAAAGAGGGTCATCTTAAGGTACTCGACCCGGAGCCATGGGCGGTAATTACATGGCTTGCAAAGCAGCTGGGTGCTTAACTTAAATCACAGAATGTAAGGAACCAGACACTAAGTTACGGATGACATTGCTTCCGAGTAGTACCAAATTTCTTAGGACACACGAAAGGCCGAGTATAGCGGCCCAGCGACCAGGAAAGTTTTCACACAACATGCAACTTACCGCCTGATGAGACGACCGTTGACATTCAGATGGCTTACACTCAATCTTACACTTATGTATGAAGTCATCGACGTTGTTCATTAGTCCTCGGTGCTCAGGTTTTGATAAACACAGAGGGTCTAGTCTACTCATCTTTCACCCAAAATGTTTATTTGGAAGAACTGGCATCCGATTCCTTGAGGATAAACCAGATAATTTTGGGAGGCAACAAGTTTACTTTTGCACAAACTGCCTTGACATTTTTAAACACACGTGGTAACTACTTGCCATCAACTCTGCCGGTAGAATAGCGTTACTTGGTGTAGACCTATGAGTTCTTCGAAAAAGCTTACTTAACCATCAGCAACATGCTCCTAACTCATGCATACACTATGAAAAACGCAGAAGCAAACCTTGGAATACAACGCATTTATGATCGAGAGGGAACCGTAAGTTTACCGTCATCTTCTCTTTAACTCGACTGAGCTCGAACTCTCGCAGACCACGCTTTTGAGAATATGACAGACAAGACCGTGATTGCTTTCCATTGACAAACCTTTCAAAGGCACACTCACTGTGGGACCTACATAACTGCGTTAACTCTTACAAATTTAGTAGACAAACATAATCAGCACTTTTCAACTACTTTTGTGGACGTTACAATGTGAAGTAAGTCCCACAACTTTGAAGTAATGTATGTATCCCCGAAGAAACTGTGGTGACCGATGACGTGGATCAGAAGGCTTAATGCGGAATCAATCTTATTTAAGACAGTAATGTGGTAGGCGGATCATCCAATGTTGTTTTATTAACGGGAAACATCTCTCCGTGGTCTGAAACAAGAAATATACAAACAGCTCCTTTCCAAACTTGCTTACTTGTGAAGCTATGGGAGAAGGAGTCTGTCCCAATGGAGTGGAACGGCTCCATTGTACTCATAATTTGCAAGAGGCCCTCACTTCCGGAATGCGGTAGTCATGGAGGGATCAGTCTGAATTCAAATGACTCTAAGTTGCTTCCATTAGCTGTGCCCCACAGACTGACTGCTACTTTTGAATGTCAGTTTCGCGAGGGGTAAACCCGGTTGCTTCGAAACCGAGGCTGTAATGACCACATATTTACGTCAGTTGTTCGAACATCGCCATATATATTGGCGACTCCCCTTGTCTTGTTCTTCTATATCAAAGCTACCTTCGATTCTGTGGATCCATGGCCCTTTGGGATTGTGTACAATGGAAAGCTGTGTCCGAGAATTATGTAATCATTATCAGAGCTCTGTACGAGCATAGATCTCGCAGAATGAGGATTTATGGCAAACTGTCGCGTCCCTTTAATATCTCCAGCGGTGGGAGGCAAGGTTACCCGCCGTCCCCTTTTCCATTTAACTTCTCGATTGACGAAGTCTTGGGACGGCATTCACTGTACACGACCTACAAAGTGTAGAGCAGCTTCCAGCTGACCGACTTCTTGACTTGGAGTATGCTGTCGACATTTTCCTTATCTGTAACGACTTCCAAACTTGCCAAGCGACACTGGACAGATTAGTCCTGTCTGTCAGTCATTTCGGGTTTTTATTTGCCTCCTCAAAAACTAATTCCTCCTCCATGATTGGCGTGGACCCACTCATACGCTGCCTCCTGGTGGGGATCAGCTAGACGTCCTCCAGAAATTCAAGTAGTTTGGCAGCTATATTAGCACTTGCAGAAGATGAGATCGCAAACCGTATAACCGAAGCTGGAGGTGCTTTTGCTGATCTTCATCTACTGTGGCGTTGTCACAACAGTCGCACGCCCTGAAGAGCAGCTTTTATAACGCTGCGTCCGCTTAACCCTCCTGCTCGGTTGTGAAACCTGGCCCATCAGATCGACAGACGTAAACAGGCTTGTTACGTTTGACCATTGATGTCTTCGCAGCATACCTCATGTCCGGTAGGAGTACTGTGTGAGCAGTGAGCGTGTTTGATGTCGTGCATTTGGTGCAGGTAGAGAATTGAGCCGCTCAGCAGCGTCATTTCACGCACCTGGCACCAATGCCTGGGTCACGTGTTGCTCATGCCAGTTTACAGACACCTGCGAAGGGCGATGTTTGCACGACGGGATTGTGGATGGAAGCAGGAGAGGGGAAACCAAGTGATACCCTTGTCAAAAGGAATAAAGTCCCTGACTTCTAACATGGCGTACGTTGCTGTCTCCTGACTTTCGGGCTGGCTTCCGAAGGTCTATAAAAAGTCTGGTTAGATACAATGGTTGACGTTGCTAGAATCCGACGTTGGTGGCGGTAGCGTTGTGAGTTTCTCTGTCCCTCGCCTTCCTGCTTCTCTTCTTCCTCGAACAAAGATCTCACATCGCATGAGTAACATGACACGTAACACTATATCACCTGCATTTTAGTTTTATCTGCCGTAATGTTTAGTATCTCGCTCTTAATATATCTTATCTTTTGTGTTGCGGCACAGTTAGCTGAAGTGTGTTTCTCACCTTCAGCTAATGTGTAATGCTGATGATGATAAAATCTCTCTCTGAACGCATGACTTCCCGATTGTCTCCAAATATCTTCCAAGGTTTTGAAACATGGAAGCCATGCGTCAATGGTAACCAATTTGCCTTGCACGTGACAGAAATAGTAATCATACTGATGTATTTCCCAATGCTGTGAGGTTCAGGCAAGGATAAACAGGTAGATAACAACAGGTTGTTTAGTTGCATTAATTGTGCATGTGAAGTTAGTCAAAGA